GCGTACTATCTTCCTTCATAAATTTAAACACATATTGGTGTCGATTCTGACGTGATACTCTAAACTTAAAACTAAATTTAACATCAGTCTTTCCCTTTCATTCTGTATAGAGAATGACAAAGATGCACTGTTGTCAAATTTAAGTTTAGCTTTAGAGAATCATGTCAGAATCGACGTCATTAGCTGGCATACTAGTACACCTTTCATTTTGCGTAATATTCTTTTATTAGTTTGCGATTTTATTCATCACTCCACTGTTCATAACATAAAAAAGCTTATTTAAATATTTATCATCGTTTAATTAAGTATTTGTTAATTCTTGTGTTCTTGTTGGTTTTCAATGCCCTCTATATTTACTTTATACTGTTATATTTTAATAGTCATAAACGTAACTACGCACGCAATATTTCGCCATTCGTAAAGAAATACCTATAAACCGTGACACAAAAAAATAACAAATTAAAATCTTCTTAAACGCGTTACTGGACAAGTGTTTGACTATTCTGCATGTCTAGTATCGCAGAACTTTATTTAATGTCATGTTTTAAACTGCCATGGTCACTAGAGTCTCTGCGGAAAGATAATGGGCTTGGCGAAAAAACGGAATTAACATTAAGATTTTTATTTGGCAACCAAACCCAGCAATCTGTAAAACGTCAAAGTTTTGTATTGATACGAATTGTTTGTTGTTGTGATTTCTTGCGATTCTTTGTATTTAATCATGTCTAAAAGGGGTAAAACCTTACAAATACGGTAGAAAAGCACTACAGCGCCCTCCAATCTAAATCCCATTCTCTTTCCGCACAGACTCTAACATTATTTATAGTAATTTATGTTATTTACGGGTAATTGTTACCATGCACCTTATTTTTAGTGAGTTTCCGATATTTCGGCACTGTTGCAGGCGCTATGAGTAAGAGTAATAAGAGCAATATCGGAAACTCGCTGAAAACAAGGTTCATCGTAACAATCCCGTAAATAACAAATTTCCATAAATGTTACTAATGGTAGCCATACACACTACGAGAAATCGTTACGATTAGACTGTACCGTCCGAACGGTACCGATAAATCGTAGCGTGTATGTTATAAAACTGCACAGTTTCCTATACGTACGCCACGTACGATAAACTGTTCCGTTCGAACTGTACAGTCTGATCGTAACAATTTCTCGTAGTGTGTATAGCTACCATAAATAAAAATAAGAGTAAACGAGGAGCTCGATGGCGCAAGTGGTTAGCACTTTCGGCTGCGATCGTTGAAGTTGAGCAACTTTCGCAGTGGTCGGTCATTGGATGGGTGAACAAAAATTTACTATCTCGAGTTCCTCAGTGCTTCGGAAGGCACGTTAAGCCGTTGGTCCCGGCTGCATCTGCAGTCGTTTGCATCCGCCAATCCGCACTGGGCCCGCGTGGTGGGTCATGGCCCAATCTCCCTATTCCATCCATAGGGAAGGCCTGTGCCCCAGCAGGGGGGGCATTAATAGGCTGATGATGAAAAATAAAAGCAAACATAAAAATACTCCTACTTGCTTACTACAGACGCCTACGTAGCCTGTAAACTTTGCTTTAATGCATTTGTTAGGCGTTTCGAAAACCAGAATAATTATCAAAACTATGTAATTGCATTTTGCATCAAAATATATAGTTTAGAATATATTGCGATGTTACACTGTACAGTGTAGTCTATTCATTTATCAGTGATTCAGATGCAAAGATTCTTCAAAAAATACAGGAATCTTTATAGATTCCTGTATTTTTCAATTCTTATGAATTTACAAAAAAAAAAAAACAAATAGATGCCGTCTTCACACGTAGAGCAGTACTATAGAAGACATAGTCTTCACATCATGAAAATTATGCCCATAATAAAAATAAGTTTTTACTATCCACGCTTATCTTCTGTGAACATTTCTGAAAGGACACTAATTAATCCCGGTAACACCACGACAAACTTCCTGAGCTTCGACCATAGACAAGGAAGCCTACGTAGTAGCAATTTTTACATACGAAAACGTAACGTTGTTTGTTTGGTTTTGCTGAAGTAGTTTGCCGCGACCCAGGTATTCAGAGCGCCTAGCAAGTTATTCCTGCGGTTTTTGCTGAACGTATTTGCTGTCCAAATGTGGAAATATTCGATGCGCGACTAATATACCATACCAGCAACTTTTACAACAAAGAAGTTTTTTTTTAGGAATGAAGGAGATTTTCTTCGTTCCTACTTCTAATAAGTGGGCTTGTTGTCTAACTTTGACTCATCCCGCGATTACCTTTAAAGCTAAAGCAAGTGTAAATGAGACGGATGGTAAATTTATTCCTCAAATAGGAAATTAAGTGAAAAAGATACACATTTAGGCGCCTGCAGTCACCCACTCAGTGTCCGTACTGTTTCAGTCAAAGAAAAGATAATAAATACTTAATGACTTAGTTTTATGTCTTTGATTCCAATTATGTCTTGTCTTGTTCTTGATTCTATTTCTGATAATGTATTAAAGTAAGGATTAACAATGAAAACAGTAATAAATGTAAAAAAAAGTTTACTAGAAAAAAAAATCCACGCGGACCAGGCAGCAGACGGGACTCGAACCCGCACCCTTCGCTATCCGGGCGAATGCTCTGACCATTATGCTGCCGCGGCCCTGACAGCCGCATCGAAATTTCTCTAGATTTAGGCTGCAAGGCAGCGCCATCTCTTCGCATTGTAGGTAACCCACAATGTCAAATGAATACCTTTACAAGTATTAAACATTTGAAAGAAGAAATAGCAATTATAGTTATGTTTTTATTTTTTAAGTATTTAACTGCCAGATGTTTAAATCTAAAGAAAAGTTTACTCAGGGCCGCAGTAGCATAATGCATTCGCCCGCATAGCGAAGGGTGCGGACGTCTTCTTTAGATTTAAACATCTAACAGTTAAATAACTTAAAAAATAAAAACATAAGTAATTAATGTTTTTAGGATCTCAGAATAGTTAGTATTTGAACGCTTTGTAACTTTATATTTTTTATTTTGCCGCAGGTATGTTGATTCTCGCCACGACAGCGCCTACAAAAAAATGATCGTAGACTGTCCTTTCAATAACCGCGAAAGAGGAAGGTAAGTTACTTAATTCGCATGAGAGGTTAGTTAGGCACGACGGGTGGTCACCAATTTACAGAAGACAATCGGACTTTGCTTATATTTTTTGAAAAGTAATCTATAACTAATTTTGTTCTGTTCGAGGTAGTTGCTTCTGCTTGCTCATAATAATGAATTATCAAAATAAATGTTTATAGGTGTAGGTAAGGTATGTATTACTTAGAGTATATCATACTATAATTATAGGTGTTGTCGATTTATCATACTTGTCTTAAGACCATATGATATACCCTGACTATGATTCGATTATGAAATCAATAGTCATTAAAATTAGCTACATTTTGGTGGCTATGTGTTGTTTTGTTTCAAAAGAGCAATGTTTCAATTGTAAGTATAATAATACTTAAAAATGAAACATTGCTAGTGTACATATGTCCATATGCTTTACTAAAAGTATGATATACCCTGACTATGATCCAATTATGCAATCAATAGTCATTTAAATTAGCTACATTTTGGTGGCTATGTATTGTTTTGTTATAAAATAGCAATTTTTCATTTGAAATTCTTGAGAAGGTTTCCTCGTTCCTGAGGGTCGTAGTCATCTGTAGGCAGTTTTTCTTTAGTGCATCACTATGACACTGTGTGTGGCAGCACAAAATAGTCATTTTTGTGGTGGAAGTGTCGAGAGCGGTGCGGATTCGGTCGGGCCAGTGTGTGCGGATTTGGTCAATTTCCTTCAATTTTTTCAGTGACCATCAATTTTTCGAGTATGGCGCTTTTCTTCTGCTATGCAGCCGAAATATCCCATTAAAAATATTCAATGATTGGATCTGCATAAAAAACTTCTCAATTAAGTTTTGATATTAGTACTCAGTTTCATGTGATTCATTCGAATGCAACGCAATTTCCCGTTCTATTTAACACATACCCAATTATACTTAACTACGGTATACATTAATACTCGAATCTTTATCAAGGGTTTTCCTCAGTATCAAAATTCGAGAGTTATGTTATGAGATATACTAAGCAATTAGGAATTCGTGCCAAGTATTGGAGATTAATGTCTATTATATGATGTGAGGTTGTCTAACAAAATTTGTATCTGAAGATCCAATAGAATTTTAATTTCATTTTTTTATTGTTATAGAAATACGCACATAATATAGGTATGGCGGGGCCACCTAATGTTAAGTGTAATTTCTGGAAGATACCTAAAGCAGCAGAATAATGTGTCGTTCCATCCAGCCATCTTTACCTGAAACTTTGGTTTGAAACAAATACCCTACCCCCACTCCTATGTAGAATTTTGCTTTTAATAGAAACACAACTAGTGATTTTTATTGTCTTCAGATGAGATGCAGGTTACTTCCCTAGAGTGACGCTCATATTCCAATGGGAAACCAGATTGCCTTTAAGATACTTTTGATGATAGATGATATTATACTATCATCGGATTCACTCCTAAAGCGAAAGGTCATATACACTGTGAACATTTTAATGGTGTGCCTGTGGTTCGTGCCAATGTGATTTCATAGGAGGAACCTTTTTTCCTTTTTTCTTTGGATACGTAGATCTAAAATCACATTGCTACAACATGAACCACGTTAATAATATATTTTACATTATTTTATTTTCTCGACATATAATTAGTTTCTAAAGAATTCTGAGGCTGTAATCTTAAAATTGATCCTAGTACAACGACGTTAAAATATATGTAAGTAATTATAGGATTGACAACGACGAAGATCACAATATATCAACTTTTACCAAAGTTCTTAATTCAAATTAAGGCTTAATCGTGTTTTATACATTATTTCATCTTTGTCAAATGTTTAAAGTCAAACAGAGATAGATTGAGTCATAAAACGATTAGTGGTGCAATTGGATCTAAGAGTGTTCAGGCCAGTAATAATTTCCACAATTTAACCACACAATTATATTTATTGTTTTTAAATTATGTTATGTTTACATACTAAATTCACCAAATACTATATTAAATAATAAAACACATTTGTAACACATACCCGTTAGCCTAGTCCCAAAGTAAGCACAGCAATACTTGTGTTATGGGATACTAGAATACATACTATGATACATATGTAAGTACATATATTTATCTAGAAATACATTTAAACGTCCATGACTTAGGTACTATTCTAACAATACTACCTATATTAATAATTAGTCAACAATAATGACAATCACAGCTACAATTGTTTTCAAGTATAATATACTATATCTCGGTGGGAAAGAAACCCATCACTACTGCTGCAAAGTCAGTCTGTGTGATACAACATTTATTTAGAAATACAATTTTAAATTGCCAATATTTTTTATGTTTAATAATATAATAAGTAGACATTTTTTATAATTTAGCAAATAAAATAATTATAATTCGTTACACAATCATTCGTTTGGGCTTTTATCATATTCGAACTCTGCCACTCCCACTACTGAAACTAAAATATTTATAAAATAACTATATTAAATAGAAACCACAGATAAGCCTTTATTATTAATCATAAATGTTTCCTGGGTAATAAATAAGTTTTAATAAATGCTATTTCATTACACTTGGTGGACCGTTCTCTCATGCCCAAAAACATTATACTAACATAAAATTATTGATTCACATTAACAGCACCATCCTATTTGGCCACATAAGTAAATCTGAATTACTGAAGGTATGAAGCAAAGCGATACTGTTCTTTATGGTATAAAATCAGTTCCAATCCTCTTTTATGATATCCGATCCTTTCTCCGCTATCATATACACTGGAGCATTTGTATGACTTGCAACTATTTCAGGCATTACACTAGCATCTATCACTCGCAAACTTTCGATACCATGTACTCGTAATCTTGAATCGACTACAGACGAGGGATCGTCGGCGACACCCATCTTGCACGTTCCGCTCTGATGGTATATCGTAAAAGTAAACATCTGAGCATGGCAAGCGAAATACTCGTCACTCCCAAATGGCCCGTACTTCAAACAGTCCTTAATCGGTACGTCATACAATTTCGCTCCTATCGCTCTCATAGCAGGCTGTCTTGAAATCTGTATCGCCAGTTTCATTCCTTCCACAATCTTCTTCAAGTCTTCCTCATATTCAAAGTAGTTTGGTATTAGTATTGGTGGTGCTTTTGGATTTTTACTTTGTAACATTACCCTTCCTTTAGACTTTGGCCGCATCAGCATTGGGAATACCATAAAAGCATCGGCGTTTCCCATAGGTCCGAATGTGTCACTGTAAATTTTTTTGTCGAAATTGAAGTTGTATTGAAGCAAAGGATCTGCATTTAAACTAGAGCCAATAAAGAGCAATTCCATATCAGGCCAGGCTTTTGGATTGAATTTGTCTTTTAAATCTGTAAATACAAGTGCTTCGCACCCACCAGGAACTGACAATGGTCCATTGTGGGTTTTCATCCATTTGAAGACAATATCTAGGTGGTTCAAAACATATCGAGTGCTCAAACTTATGTTTTGTGGCCGCACAATGAATTGTAGGCCTCCTGCTGCCATATGATCCATCAGGTTGTGCCCGACTGGCAGATCTTTAACAACCTCGATTTTCAATGAATCTAAATGTTGCTTCGGCCCTATACCGGATAGCATCAGTATTTGAGGGGTATTTAATGCACCCGCAGATAGAATGACTTCTTTACTTGCTAATATTTTGTATTTTATGCCATGCTTCTCCAGTTCCACACCTAATACTTTGATTTTGGTCTCGTCAAAAATCAGCTTCGTGACCATACTAGCTTTGGAAACATGAAGATTTTTTCTGCCATTTATTGGGTGTAAGTAAGCCCGACTAGAGCTGTGTCGTGTTCCATTTTTCATTGAGAGTTGTAAAAATGATACACTTGCTGGGTCCTCGCCGTTATAGTCTCCATACTTGAAACCGAGTTGTTGTGCGCCTCTAACCCATGCTTCGCTTACTGGCGTTCGAAACGGAGCATGTTCGACATTGAGGTAGCCCTCATATCCATGATATTTAGAATTATTTATTGAAGGAATTTGAAAATTTTCGATCTTCTTGAAATAAGGTAAGACTTCATCCCAACCCCAACCTTCATTGCCCATGTCCCTCCAGTTATCGTAATCGGGTTGAGAGCCTCTGGTGTATATCATGTAGTTCAACACGCTGGATCCTCCAACAACTTTTCCGCGTGGCCAATGGCATTGCTTTTTATCAAAACCAGCACAGTATCTGTTCGAAGGTTGTGTCTTATACTTCCAATTGGCTTTAGTAAATTGGATGTAGTTGGCAACAAGTGGGATGTCCATAACATATTTCTCATTGACACCAGCTTCAATTAATAACACTTTCCAATCTGGCATTTCTGTTAAACGGTTCGCTATGACACACCCGGCTGTCCCTGCTCCTACGACGATGAAATCATATTCGGTGAGCAAACGCGCTTGATCCGGTGGTTCATCGTCGTGCTGCTTTTTGCCTTCTTTCAAGAAGTTTATGAAAGATGTGAACGGGTTGATTTGCTGAGCGCCGCTCGGCAGTGCAACGAACAAGATCCAGAGCACCGTCACCACCGACGGCACGCGATATTGTTTCATCTGTAAAGAAACAAAAACGGATTTAGCATTGATCAACCAACATGCGTTCGTGTGGCAAAGAGGTTGAATGTACTTCATATAAATAACCATTTACTTGACAGGACGCATGATAGTGCATTGTAATGGGACGAGATCTTCGTGAGAATCTTCAATTGGTTGGAAGTATTATTGTTTCATTTTTTTTTATTTTTAAGCTATTGTATAGCTTTTATCTCGGTCTTTGAGCGCGCCGACCGAATCAAGAAATTCCGTAACGAAAAAAACCTTACGAGAGTGCATATACCAATAGAACACAATTTTCGCCATTCCAGTATCGATCTAAACGGCGCAGTGTGTTAAATTTTTGCCACGAAACCAACGTTCGACGCGTCACCGCGGTCGTCGGTTCAAATCTTGTTTTTTTATTATTATTTTTTCCTTTTTTTTATATATTTGTTTTAGACCCCAGCACCTGTTCTTATTTGTCTCCCTTTTATTTATATTTTATAATTATAATTTAAATTTTTGGACTAAAGAAGTAAACTGTGGAGCTTGTGGAAGTATTTTGGCAATGCTGTTGTTTGCTGTGGTTGCCCAATAAAATATCATAAGGAATAATAATAATAATAATAATAATAATTTATTTAGTTGCAAGAAAAGTGGTACAAAAGGTGTTACATTATTTGTTGGGACACGCACAATTCACCAGAATCTGGCATACAAATTTTATAAAATATCTAAAAATAAAAGTGCACTATCTAAGCGGTCCAAACCCAGGGATAAAGAAAAAAAAATAGTAGATTACTGTCGTCTTTTACATAAGTCCATAAACTCCTCAACAGAATAAAAACAGTTCCCAATCAACCAAGTTTTAAGTTTCCTCTTGAACGTATTTAAAGGCAAAATCTTGAGATCATCCGGCAAACTATTATAAATACATATAGTCATACAATACGCATTTCTATGGTACAGAGCCGTAGTTTTTTGAGGAAGAACTAGGGCATTAGGGTATCTAGTGTTAAAACTAAATAAGTCTTTCTTCTTTTTGAATAACTCGGGGTTAGTTTTGGCAAACACGCAAACCTCAAAAATGTACATGCAAGGTAGCGTCAGCAGCTTAAACTGTTTAAAGAATGGTCTACAGGATGTACGGCAATCAATGTTACAAATAGCACGAATACATTGCTTTTGAGCGACAAATGCTTGATTTAAGTGACATGAGTTACCCCAGAGAAGAATTTGGTACCTCAATAAGCTGCTTACGTAACCATGATAAGCCTGAATAGCAGTATTTTTGCTACTAATCTTAGTTAACCTCCACAACGCATAAACAAATGGATTTATCCTATTGCAGAGCCTGTCTTTATGATCTTTCCAAGAACATTTGTCGTCAATTATCAAGCCCAAAAAATTTGTTTGTAAAGATTCATTAATTAGTTCATTATTGAATGTCAATTTCAAATCATTTTTTTTACCGTTTTTATTAATAAATTGAATAAATGTCGTCTTCTTTAAATTCACTTTTAATTTATTTTGTTTTAGCCAGGTTATTATTTTAGATACTGCTTCATTTATTGCATCATTATAATGTTTCTTGTCACTACACGGTATGACGACAGATACATCATCAGCAAAGAGTGTGCAGTGATGATCTATGACATCTGGGAGATCATTAATAAACAATAAGAATAACAGTGGACCCAGTATGCTGCCCTGTGGCAAGCCTAGGGTTTTTGATTTTGACGTTGATTGATATTGCTTTATTTCCATTTTGTCGTCTATATATGTTATTTCTACATATTGTGTTCTATTAGTTAAATATGAAAACAACCATTCATTTACCTTACCTCTCATGCCATACAACTCACATTTACGAAGAAGGATATCATATGGTACGAGATCGAAAGCCTTACTCATGTCGAAAAATACACACGTGACTGGCCTTCGATCATCCATATTGATTTGCACTGTATTGATTAACGAGAATGCAGCCAGCGATGTTGACTTGCCTTTTTGAAATCCATATTGACTAGGTTTTATCAATGCAAATTTATTTATAAATTGAATTAGTCGTTTGTGCATTATCCTTTCAAAAATTTTGGAAAAATTAGACAGCAGAGATATAGGCCTGTAGTTATCTATATTATCTTTTGTTCCTTTCTTGTGTATAGGCTTAATCACGGCAGTCTTTAGTGCGTTTGGGAAAACACCAGTAGCAAAAGATAAGTCAACCAAATGACACAGTACAGGAGCAATTTCTATTTTACATGACTTAAGTATGCTAGTCTGTATTCCATCGAATCCCGTTGAGTAAGTGGACTTTAGTGATTTCAAAGTTTTTATTATCTCGTCCTCATTAGTCGGTTACAAAAATAAGCTAGCATGATTAGATTTAATTTGATTATCATTTTTAATTATAGTTTCATTATTAGAATTATTTATGTTAGCATAATAATTATTGAAAGCATTTGCTATGTCAATGGGCTCACATTTAACTTGATTGTCAACTAATAATTTATTAATATTTCCATTTATACATTTCAAGGGAGGCTTTTTTTTTATAACATCCCATGAAGCTTTGCATTTATTTTTTGAATTCACAATATATTTATTATTTGCCAGTTTTTGAGATTTATTTATACAAGATCTCAGAAGTATTGAGTATTTTAGAAATTTATTTTTAGAATTAGAATGCCTCGCCATCTATTAATATCAAAGAAAAAACTTGAATTAATATCAGAGAAAAAAAAATCTGCATAAATAAGATAAAATAAATAATTAAAATTGCATAAGTTGATAAAAAATGCTATGCAATAGCTTTACCCCGGCAATCCCCGAGTGCCACACGTATTTTTTTTTCTTGCCACCCAAACTAAATTTGCTTTTTTAGAATGACTATTTAAACTTATTTAAACGTTCACTACGATGTTTTATTCGTTATGAAATAAATGGAAATCTATTTAATGTATTCCAATATTTTGACTAGATATAGGTATTAAAAAATAATTAGTAATTTCCTAGAAGAGAATGTAAACTAAAGCATTATTGTATTAATTAAATATATGAATAGATTTATGCGAATAGTGGATTCATTTATTTATGTAGCCTACATTTCACAAATATACCTTATTAACTTACCTCAAAAGACGTTTGTTTAATTCAAATATCATGATAATGATATAGGTAAGTATTTCACCATATAATTATTAGCCTTCGAATTGAAAATTTCCCAGGAACCTAACACTTCTTCACAAGCTGTCTGTGTGTAAAACTTCATCCAAATCATTTGAGCTGTTTTTGCGTTTGAGTAACAAATATACAACAAACATGCAAACTTTCACATTTATAATATATTAATTTAATCAACGATTGTAAAACAACTTGAATAAATAAAGTTGAATATCTTACTGGGATAATAATATTAAAGAAAATTAAAATACAATAGAAGTTCACAATCTCTATAATACAGTTTTCTTATCACCAAATATGTTCCATTATGTGGTTGGTTTAAATTTTGAAGAATAATCACAGAGAATTTTTAAACTCTCGTTAACCAAAGAAAGCAAAGAGTAGCTTCATTAATTTTGTTATGTTTATATTATAACCATATGTTAGATTTTTAGTGTATCACACCTTATAATGTGTTTGGCGAAAAATGTATGGCAATAGACTTTATGATCTCGCCTATCATCTATAATAATAATTATCTTAGCACATTTGCATGTAGTGAAAATGATAATATAGTTGTGGATATATAATACCACAGTGTAATAAAAAATGTTTTATTTTATCGATCTTTATAAATTAGATTTGTTTTGATGTTATTTAAACAACTTCGATCAGTCTTTGGCTGTATGTTACTACACCCATAGCCATTAAAAAATATTTGTATGTTTTCCTAACTGGTAAAATTAAAAGTACTTTTTAAAATGAATATATTATACAAAGGTGTCCATTAAAATCTAATGACTGTAAAATAATGTATAAATTACGCCAAGAATTACCATATATGTCAATATTTTTTGTACATTTGGGCCAATTTGAGCAATCTCCTTTTGTTCTCAATGAGACAACCAGTTATATGTGGAAATGGGTAGTCCGGAGTCCAACCTCGCGGTGCCTCTGCACTGTTCACCCAGGGTTAGTTAGGGAAATACCTTCATTACTATAGGTTAAGGAATCTATCTGTCCTTAGTCACGGCCAGATCACATCGACCGGAGCGCAGCTTGCAACCTTTATTGTAATAATCTCACGCGTCCTTCCTGGTCCGTGTATAGAGAGAGAATCTCCTTGTTATATGCTTGTTCTTTCTCCTGTAGTTCTTAAGAAGAATGTAACATCCTGGAGTTTCACATTGAAAAAAAATGTCAGACATTAGGGAAATACGTAGATTATTACATTTTCATTACTAGCGGTGGGGGTGAGGGATATTTACTGCTTATATTTTGGAATGATTACATGACCAGGAGTTCTATTTTATTGAGTTGAATGAAATCAATTTCATGTTCACTAATTTGATTAAAACATTTGATGACAATAATCACCATACCATGCATAATGAAAGGCTTGCAAATCAGTTAGGGCTATGAGAATCAGATCGAGGCTCAATTTGGCAGGTTGACCGGTTCCAGATATGAATTTTGTCCATCCACAAAACATTCTGTTACTCAGTCCCCCCTATCACAAGATTCTGCCCTGCCTTGCAAGATTCCAGGACAATCTACATACAATACGGAACACCAATAGAAAGGTTATTTTTCATGGCCATAACTTGCAAAATAAGTAGAGATGGAAGTTAAGACAATTTTACCTTTCGGGATGTTTTCACATTAATTAACAGTTCGGTTAGCGTTCTCGCGCTATGTCTGCTGATATCCTCTAGGATATAAACTGTTTCGGCACTAATTATCAAGTATAATTTATTCTTGCTTTCAAAATACGACGACAAACGGAACTTGATTTCAATAAAGAGAAATTTGAATCTTGTTTTGAAAACTGAGCATGAATATGCCGAGAAAGATAAACGTGCCAAATCTGTTTTCTCTGCTTCTGAGCTTCGGTGAGGTTGTGCGGCACCCAGCGGAAAACTATCCTCCTTACGCAAAGGTGCTCGTGCAAAATCTTGTGAACACTTCCTGAACCAATCTGCTGAGGATGCTGAATCTGTTCGTACGTAATTCGTCTGTTTTCTTGAATTAATTTTTTTACTGCCAGCACACTTTCTTCGGTGACAGTCGTCGTAGGACGACCACTCCTTTGTTCATCCCCTAAAGTAAGACGACCGCGTTTGAACTCGCTACACCACCAGTAGATGTTTGCTTTTGAAGGTCCTTCACCCATAAAAGCAGTTCGAAATCGATCAAATGACTCATCAGGTTTTAAGCCACATTTAAAATCGCAAAAAATCATAGCACGAAAATGTTCTCGATGCAGATCCATTTTTTAATGAGACAAGAAAAATTTAATTGGCTCTCGAAAAATGCGGAGGGAAATTTGAAAATCGAACAGTGGTATTTTTACTTTAAATAATCGAAGTTCAAAATAATTACAAGTGGCCAGTGTCTTATAAATACATTAAAACTTTTTTTCGCAAATCTTTCCGAGTGGCCTGGTATATAACCTATTCTGCTTTATTTACTTTGACTGCACTATTTTTTTGTACTGAAAGTAAGTTAAGAGCTTCAGATCCACTTTTAGGAAATCACACGATTCAACTAAAACTAGATCTATCCCATAGAAAAATTTCAAAACGTCAATGTCAATTTGACGTTATTCGGCTTTATCTAGTTTATTTAAATTGAGATTTAGCAAAATTGCTGCAAGCGGAACTTAATCTTGATCATGTTATTGTTCTGCATTATTAAGAAACCGGAAATATTTGAATTTATGATGTAATTTTGGATAACAAAAATGGTTTTTAAAATATTTTTCTAATTATAAGCATTCGGTTGCCCAACACTTACATTTCCGGGCATCTTCACTGAACCTCTGCTGCGAGTGGGGAGTGGTGCCTATAGCGGTGCGGACTGATCTGTGCAAAGCCGCCCAGCGATTAAAAACGCGCCTTCGATTTAGCGCAAGTCAAAATCTACACGATCTATCGACAGGAGTACTCGCTGCGACACACTACAATAGTACAATGGTTTCTTTGTGTGCGTGAGCGCTGATCAGTTAGCACGAATCATTTTGATACTTTTATTTATTTAGGTTCAATTTTATGATTTAGTTTTTTGAATCTAATTGTTATCATAAATGAATACAAGCAAACTTTTGAAGTCATTATATGATTTTATAATTGCACATTACTAATTGGCATTGACCGACTTTTTCTCGGGTCAATCAATTCAGGCAATAGACATTTATTGCAGAACTCTAATAATTTAGGTTCCATTTTTGTTGTCCAAAATACGTGACTCTTGTAATTTTTGGTCTTGTTCTGATCTTCACAGCGAATTCCTGTCCACACTGCAAACAGCCAAAAATTGTTTGTCAGAAAAATAAAATAAAAAATTTAAATTATTTTCTATCGCGATTAGCGATATCGATCGAAGGATTGCTCTGCTGAAGCGACAGTGGGCGGGACACGCAGAATGGAACGACGCACCGGACGATGCTCAGTAGGCAGGCCGCCTACGAGGTAGACCGACGATCTTGTAAAGGTCGCGGGAAGCCGATGGATGCGAGGCCTATGCTTGTACGTCGTACATCTGATATAATGATGATGTGCTTCACCTACTTATTTTGGGATCAGAGCATGAGCAATGAATATTGTCAAAAATTGCAACAAAGTTCCTTTTCGGATGGAATGGCGAATGCGGGCTAAGCGAATTTTTTTTAAGATTTTTCCGTCACAATCTAGCGAGGTAGCTAGCTAGCTAGGCAGCTGGGTAGGTAGCTAGATGCATAACTAGGGGGCGACCAATGGTGGCGGTGGCTGTGGACCTATATATTGTTTTAAACTTTCATGGTCACTAACATTATAGTAATATAAGTTATTTACGGGATTGTTACCATGTACCTTGTTTTAAGCGAGTTTCCGATATTTCGGCGAAAGGGAATGCGACAGTCATAATGAATACCAGTGAGCATGAAAACAAAATCCAGAGTCTACTCACTGACGAACACATATACAAGAAGGTGAATTACAACCCAACGGCAAGGACAGATCGTTATACTCGCTCACTCATAAAAGAATGCGCCCACGCTTTAGACGATGACATTGTCAAATATTTATTACGTCCTAGGAACATCCAGCCTCCAAAACTATATGGTCTGCCGAAAATCCATAAGCCAAATGTGCCCCTACGTCCGATCGTGAGTCAGATAGACTCACCTACATATGAACTGGCCAAGCACGTGGCAAAAGTATTGCAGCCGATAGTGGGACGAACGTCGTCGTTTGTGAAGGATTCCCGCCATTTCATAGAAATCTTGCACCAAAACAAGGTAGATGAAAATCAGTTGATGGTCAGTTTTGACGTAGAATCGCTGTTCACAAATGTACCTGTGTTGGATTGTCTGGAAGTGGTGAAGGTGAAGTTGCAAGAAAATGACATCCCGAAGGAATATGCCAAGCTGTTGCATCATTGTTTGTCGACGAATTTCTTCATATATCAGGGTCAGTACTACCTCCAAATAGATGGGGTCGCAATGGGCAGTCCCGTGGCTCCAGTGGTTGCCAATATATGGATGGAGCATTTTGAAGAAAAATCCTTTATCACCGCACCCACAGAAATAAAACTATGGAAGAGGTATGTCGATGACGTATTCTGTATATTAAGAGGTAACAAACATGATGTCGAGTCTCACTTGGCAAATTTAAATGGTATCCATTCCAAAATCAACTTTACCTATGAGATGGTAGAAGACAGAAGTCTGGCCTTTCTGGACGTGAAGATTCGGGTGAGGAATGACGGTTCGCTTGGTCATGCCATTTACCGCAAATCAACACACACTGACCGCTATCTCAACGCCTCCTCGCATCACCACCCTAAACATCTTAACTCTATAGTGACTTCACTGACGAACCGTGCATATGACCTGTGTGATGAGGAACGTCTTCAAGAAGAGTTGGAGCATGTACGACGAGTCTTACAGAGTAATGGATACCAGGGACATTTTCCATCAAGACACAAACTAAGACACCAGAGACACAGAGTAGACAGAAAACCTGTTTATTTACCATACGTCAAAGGAGTGACTGACAAGATCTCAAACATACTGAAAAAGTACTCACTAAACACTGTCTTCACTCCTGTGCGAAAGGTTTCACAATACCTACGGTCTCCTAAAGACAACTTCCCCTTGGAGAAACCTGGTGTCTATAAGATCGATTGCAGCTGTGGCAGTTCGTACATTGGCCAAACAAAGCGAACAGTATTATGCCGAATGAGGGAATACATAAAAGCAATCAAGAACAACGATACGCCGAAATCAGCCATCGCGGAACATTTGATAGATTCTGGTTCTAACCACTGGATTGAGTTTCATAACCCACAGATTATCTCGACAGAACGCCACTACATACCAAGATTGGTCAGGGAAGCGATTGAAATAACAAAACATAAAACTTTCAATCGTGAGGACGGGGTTAAATTGTCGAGTGTCTGGAATCCTGTGGTTCGTATGTGTAAAACCGGAAATAATCAAAAAAGTGTCGTGTCGCGATCCGATACTGTAAGTGTTGTGTGTCGAGAACAGTTTCGAGTGAATAGTGAGAATGTGAACAGTGGTACGGGTATCGAACGCAATAAAAGACTTCGTCGGAGGGTAGACCGATATGTCTGCCAATAACAGCCTACCCGCAATTACTTCAGTTACTCCGTGATCATGGCGCTTGCAACAGTGCCGAAAGATCGGAAACTCGCTAAAAACAAGGTACATGGTAACAATCCCGTAAATAACTTATATTACTATAATGCTGTGGACCTAGTTTAAAGTTTTGTTATGATTTTGACAGAATCGGCGATCAGGCCATGATCCACCACCGGCCCCAGTGCAGATTGGTGGGTGGGATAAGTACTTTTTTATGAAATAGGAGCCCAATCCGCACTGGGCCTAATCCGAACTGGGCTCAAACCTCACTGGGCCCAATCCGTATATCGGTAATTGGCAATCCCAATGCTGATTGGTGGGTAGGATACTTTTTTTATGAAATAGGAAGATTGGACTATGATGATGATCGCAAGGGTTCAGCGGATTGGTGGGTGGTATATGTATAAGACCCACTAGCACCAAAATTCTTCATTTTAATTAAATTATGGCTTAAATTTGACGATCTCCATGGCCGAGTGGTTTGTTCGCTGGGTTTCGTGGTGTCGCCGACTTGAAAGGTCCCGGGTTCGAATCCCGGTGGGGGCAGATATTTGTGTGATGATTTCGAGCATTTGTTATCCAGTTAATGTTTAATATGTATTTCTACATAAATATACTTATATATGTAATCTATCGTTACCCTAGTATCCCATAACACAAGCCTTACAGTGCTTACTTTGGGGATAGGCTAATTGGTGTGAGTGTTGGAAATATTTATTTATTTATTAATCATGTCACACATCATTCCATCCTTGTCGATTGCTTAAGTATAATTTGCTTTCGAACTTGTATTAAGAACTTAGGTGTAAGTGGGCCTTAATATTTTTGACTTTGTTCCGTCCGAGTGTTACAAGACACTCAAATAAATTTTTTATTCATTCGTCGGATACTTTCAAAGTGGCAACCGGTTGCATGATAGCAGGTGCGTGCGACAAAAAATATTAGCTTCAACCATCCTCACTAGGCTGAATTAAACCCAATATACCTTACCCCTCAAAAAATCGGCCAAGTGCGAGTCGGACTCGCGCACCGAGGGTTCCGTACAAACCTGTAGGTATATTTTGTAAAATATTTTTTATTATATGATGTAACTAAAAATTTACGGTTTTCGCAATTTTCCTTTATCTGTACTTTAAGACGTTAATTCGTACCAAATGTCAAGATTGTAAGTTCACGGGAAGTGGCTGTAGGTTTTGATTCCCGTGCCAGTTTCGAAAATTTGCGGCATAAACGGCTGTATCTTTTGATTGCTTTGGCTTAGAAGTTTGATTTTTTCACAGCTCTAAGTTACAGTAGACCTGAGTATTAGATATGAATTTCAGTTTGATACCTCCACGCGTTCAAGAGAAAAACGGTCTTGACAGACAGACGGACGTACGGACAACAAAGTGGTCCTATAAAGGATCCGTTATTTCCTTTTGAGGTACGGAACCCTAAAAAACTAGCTATGTGTCCTACATCTCGTGGAGATTTGACGCTACATCACCAAAACAGAATTCCCTATAAGTATAATAAAAATAGTATTATTTCACTGCGTCTTCTGTAAAGACCTTCGGGGAATTCGCATAAAATAGCTGATCTTTATTGAATTCGTTCCGTTTCAATTTCTTTGTTTCCGTTTGTGTAAAAGCAACATAGAACCAGAACACACAAATTATTTTTACTACATAGGAACAATACTTTTTATTCTTTATTTAAGTTTTTTCCTTAACGTTTTTCCTGATCCATGAAGATAATGGGGTAAGTAATTGTATTTTTTTATCAATCACTGATGTCTTTGACATTCGATTCTTTTGAAAACTCTAACATGTCAAATGAAGACGATGATAAAATTACAGATAACTTTGTGTACTTACGCATTACCTAAAATGTTTTGCTTCATCTTCAATTCATATTTTCAAATGAATAAATACATTTTGGAAACATTCATGCCATGCCTTTGTTGTAACTTTTTACTAATTGAAAGTCTCTTCTGGTGACAAAAAATCTTAATAATAATAAAAGCAAGAAGAAGTTCAAGTAGCTTGGTGCTAGGAAAGGATTAATGTAGGATGATCCAAAACATTTTCTCGTTGGCAAAGATTCATTGCCCATCTCCATTTGACGACCTCCATGGTTTGTACTTACGCCCGGTTTCAATGTGTCACCTACTTAGAGGTCCGGGATCTAAGCTCTAAATCAAAAACACCGGCCAAGTGCGTGTAGTGCCAAGCGCAGTGTTGTATTATTTCATCGACTATAATTTCAAAAAAGAAACACTTTGTATGGATTTTAATTACATGAGTTAGGAAGCTAAAACAAAAAATCCTTCAAACTTGTGATTTTCTTAAGGATCTTTGCAGTCAGTTGTAAATTTTTGTTTGTTAGATCTGTCGGGAATTTTAGATATTTTTAGCTTCGAAAATGCCACTGAAAGTGAAATCAAGTAAACCTCTGTTCAGTTATTTTGTAATATTCACAAAAACTGTAAAAAAAAATATTTCCTAAAATTATTAGTTATTCACATGTTTGTAAGATAATCGGTTGGTGGACAATTTGATTTGAAAAATCATGTTTTTGAGCCAAACAGCGCACGGACCGTGTATACGCTCTTGAGTACCAGGCCTCTTAGAAAGTTTTGCAAAAAAATGTTTTTATGTATAAGCCACTGGCCACTTGTAATGAAAATCTGAATTAAAATATTCTGATCAGAAGAAGTTTACTTTTTAATATTTTTTATAGCTTATTTCAATTAATTAAAAGATGCACATTAACCATAATATAATGTCTGTGTTGCCAATACTTTAAATGTTTAAACGACATTTTTATGTACTACAAGTGGAAAATAAATTACCTTTATATTTTAATTGAATCCGGCGTGTTTTTCTACACATAAATGCATGATAATACATAAGGTTAATAGGTAGGTAAATTTGGTTACATTGGGCAGAGCTGTACGGAGATAAGAATGGGCCTTTTATCGAGAAATTGATCGAGGTTTGCTTTTGCTGCCTGGCCTGCTTGGAATTTTTCTAGTGAAATTTTCTTTAGATACCTACTAAATTTTCCCGGATTTGTCTCATTTTGAAACTTTCCCAGGCTGATAAGTGATATGTGGTAAAATTGCTCTTTGTCATAACAATTAA